TTGTTTAATTTCCTTCATCAGTGGTTTATATTTCCCTGTGTATAATTCTTTCCCCTCCTTGGTTAGATTTATTCCTAGGTATTTTATTACTTTGGGTGCTATTTTAAAGGGGATTGTTTCTTTGCTTTCTTTTTCTGTGGATTCATCATTAGTGTAAAGAATATGCAACTGATTTTTGAACATTAATCTTGTAACCTGCTACCTTGCAGAATTCTTCGATCAGCTCTAGTAGTTTTTGTGTGGACCTTTTAGGGTTTTCTATATATAGCATCATGTCATCAGCATATAGTGACACTTTTACCTCTTCCAATTTGGATCCCTTTTATTTCTCTGTGTTGCCTGAATGCTGTGGCTAGGACTTCCAAGACTATGTTGGATAGGAGTGGTGATAGTGGGCATCCTTGTCTTGGCCCAGATTTTAGTGGGAAGCTTTTGAGTTTTTCACCATTGAGTACTATGCTGGCTGTAGGTTTGTCATATGTAGCTTCTATTATATTCAGCACCCCTCTATACCCACTTTGGTGAGCGTTTTTGTCATAAATGGGTGTTGAATTTTATCAAATGCTTTTTCTGCATCTATTGAGATGATCATGTGGTTTTTGTCCTTTCTCTTGATGTGATGTATTACGTTGATTGATTTGCGTATGTTGAACCACCCTTGTGTCCCTGGGATGAACCCCACTTGATCATGATGTATAATCTTTTTTATGTGCTGTTGAATTCTATTTGCTAATATTTTGGTAAGAATTTTTACATCTCTGATCATCAGTGATACTGGTCTGTAATTCTCTTTTTTGGCGGTGTCTTTGCCTGGTTTTGGTATGCACTAAACTTTTTATATTCCGGTGTTTGGTACCTGGTGAGTGCTAGGTGTTGCTGAATGAGTGAAGAATGGATAAATGGTGAGCTTAAGGTCTTGCCTCATTTCAGTGTCCTTGGTTTGCTTTGCATTCAGTAAATAATCATTAAAGATTTCATATTGGCACAAATGGTATAAGTGAAGGTATCCTTGAACAAACTACTCTTTAAATAGTCTCCAAATTATAAACTCCCAGCTTGGGCACATTCTGACCCATCAACCACTTGGAAGGCAGAAGGCTATCTGCATTGGGTCAGCTTCCCCACCACCCTTTAGTGCCACTTCACTCCCGCACTGCAGCCCCCCTCAGAGACCAGACAGCCCAGACAGCAGAGCAGCAGCTAAACCCCTGACCCCAAACTCTATACAATTCCAGAGTCTCCGGCAGTCCTTCGACTGGTCCTCTAACCTTCTCACCTTTACTCCACCAGAAATCCTGGGAGACCCTGGCTGGTCCCCTCTTGTGCCCTCTTGTCCTACTCATAGATTTACTAGGTACCTTGTAGGTTAGTAATTCAAGATAGCCTAACTCCTTAACATTGCTTTTACTCAGCTTCAGCGAACTGAGGAAAAGAGAGTCAACTGAAGACTTTCCAGGCCTCGTTCCCAAGGCAGGAGCCACATCCGGGGCAAATTCTGTGTTCTCAGGGTCGACCCCTTCCCAGGCTTTAGGACTGCATCATGATGAAAGATGCAGTGAAGGAATTAAGTCCGGAGAAGCAAACCTGAGTGCAAGTCTGTGATAAAACACTCTGGTCTCCTAGTCTCCCTCCTTTTAACTTATAGCTAAATGGCTTTGTGTAATTTTAGGGGGTAAGAGCAGAGAGGAAAGGGGACCATCTAGGTAGGTATGCATAAGGTTTTCACTACCTGTCTCAAATTTATGACAACACTAGCGGGTAGAATGGAGTGTCTTCTTTTTAAGTATGAGTAAACAAAACCTCAGAGACTTCAGACAGCTTTCCCCAAACAACATTGTTCTCGAGAAGCGGAGGTGAGTTTGAGTCCCAGCCTGACATGACAGCATGTGCTTTCCATTCTCAAACACTTCCTCCCCAGTGGCAGCAAAGAATAAGTACAGAAGCCTGTGGGGTGCTGGGGATATGCACCAAAGAGACTCCCTGTCTTAGTTCTTGTGTTTTAAGTTTATGTATCTTTTGCATTTTCACAATATAGATGCTTGAGACTGAAGGTGAAAGAAATGATTATTTCCTCAAAACTCTAAGTAAGATGACACTCCAGGAAGATGAGCCGCACTTTTAATACCTCCAGCAGATTCGGGGTGAATGTCACTCCAGGGTTGCTGATTTATCTTCACTGTCCCAACCTACAAGTGATCTCAAGTTGGAACTGAAACTTTGGGCCAATGAGTATCAGGAAGAAGGACTCCAGCTCTAGTACTTCAACATCAGATCCTCACTTTGGAAGACGTGCTCACATCTCATTCAACAGGTCAGTTCATCCAGTTATCTTTGGATGTGCCTTATCTCCTGTGACACTCAGGTCTTATCCATTGTTACTCCTGAATTCAGAGTTCACTGTGATAAATTCTTCTTAGAGACTAAAATTAAGAAAAAGGTTAATTTTCTTAGGTATAAATATGTAATATATCATCATGTTTCCACTGACCCATCAGCTCTAGACTTCCCGAAGTCAAAGGTAGAAAAATGGAAGAGGGAAAGGATTAGTATAAAATGCTCAGTAAGATACTGTACCACAAAGGGAAAGCAGATGTCTCCTTTTGCTTGTGAATTGTCAGGTCTCACTTTCTAAGTGCAGTTGAACATTACTTTTAAATGAAGGGCATATTTTTTGCGTGTTTTTATTTTTTTCTGCAGTCAACATGAGGATGCAGGGTTTTTTTTCTTTTGAGTTAGTGTTTTCATTTCATTTGGATAAATACCCAGAAGTGGAGTCACTGGATCATATGGTAGTTCTGTTTTTAGTTTTTTGAGGAACCTCAACCCTGTTTTCCATAGTGGCTGCACCAATTTACATTCCTACCAACAGCAGGACAGGGTTCTTTTCTGTGCATCCTCACCAGCACTTGTTACTTCTTGTCTTTTTGGTAATAGCCATCCTAACAGGTGTGAGGGGATATCTCATTGAGGTTTTGATTTGCACTTTCCTGATAAGGTGAGGTTGAACACTTTTTCATGTACTATTGGCGATGTGTATATCTTCTTTGAAAAAATATTCATATTCTCTGCCCATTTATTAATAGGATTGTTTTGGGGTTTTTTTGGTATTGAGTTATATGCATTGAAGAGCATATATTTTTATAAAACAAGATTTAAAAATACTTGGCCTTTTATATAACACTCATTGTCTGGGCCCCATGTCCCTGCATCACAGCCTGGAAATGGTGTCCAGGAAAGAAGCTGTAAAATACATAGGACTCGCCTTGTAGGGTGAGTCAAGGTTTGTGGCTCTGCTTCGACTCTAGTCCTATCACTGATTTTATAAGATTTCTACAGATTTAAAGTGTTTAAAGTGGGATGGTAAGTCTGGTACCAGTGACTCATCATGGCTGAAACCATAAGTTTGCTTATATGATCTTGGAGTAACACACACAAAAACTTGTTATTTTAAAATTACCATTTATTGCTAGACTTTTGACAGAGGAAAACCTCAGGGGTAGTATAAGCATTTCATAGATTTTTCTGAGGATTTATCAATTTAATTAAAATCTTATTTGGGAACAGTCAACTGACTTGAAACATCACAGTGAATGATTATAAAATGAAGGCTAACAGACCAAAATAAGCCTCGGTGATCATTATTCCTGAAAGCTTCCATGTAATTGAGTTTTTGAAGATTGAGAATCATTGTCCTATGTAAACGGTGTTGACCTTGGCAAGTTTATTTTACCAAAAGTTAACTTAGATTTAATAGACCACTTTCAGGATACATGATCATAATTTCTTTGAGTCAATAATGTCCCATGTGCCAACTGGAAATTAAGAACTTCCATAAAACATTTCTGATCACTATCTTCCAACTAGATTAAATTCTTGGAGAGAATTCTCCTACTGCCTAATTCATATTCCTTCCTATCCACCTAGGAGCCGAGGGGTTACCCCTTCACCTTGGCAATTCACAGAGGAATCCTACTCCCTTCTCTGTCTTGCCTTCTTTCCAAAACAATCTTAGGCATCTTGAAATAAATCTTCGGCATCTTGAAATAAAGACAAATGCAAGAGAGTCATTTAGATATGAATTAGAGATCAACCACTTTCTAGAAACATCACCAGTAGAATGTATTTGTAAGGAAATGCCAACATTTTAGCAGATCATCCTGGCTTGTACTGTTGAAACATTTAGGTGAGAAAATTGCTGAGAAATATGGTCAGCGGGTAGCACTTCCATCATGGTGATACTGACTTGGACTTAGATATTTCAAGAACCATAAGCTTCAGCTTCTATATATTCCTTAACTTTAACCCTTCCCCAGTTAGCTGTGTGCTTGTGATCTGAAAGAATCTATTTCCTGTTCCTTTCAAGAAGCTTTTTTCTGTGTATCTGTATCTATGTAGATGTAGGCATCACATCTGGATCGGCAGAAGGTTATATGGACTGGGGCGGAATATCATAGCTGTTAAAATATGCTTCCCTTGTGGAGCCTAGCCTGGGAGTAACTCACCTGGGGTTGGAAACAAATACTCTGATCACATGTTACATTAGCATGTCTAGGGTATAACCAATGCCTGTGATCAGAGTTCTATGATCTCATTGAGAAGCAATATAGAAAACCAAGTTTCTCTTTCTACCTGAATCCCGAATTGCTGTGTTAAGTGTCACATCAAAATAGATTTTAGGCTATTTAAAATTTATATTCAAAATAACAGTTCTTTATCTTTTTTTTTTCTCAGTATTTCTTCTGACACTTCCCCCAAAGCATGTATCTATCTAAAAAAAGGCAGCCCCAGCCAGGGTTGGGTGGGGTTGAGTGTTGAGTTGCTGGAAGAGAGGAAACTTGAGAGATATTCCCCACTAGTGGAAATGATTCCTTTTTCTGGGCTGGCCAGCAGGAGTTCTGGTTCTCACTGTTAGCTGCAGGGAGAACAATCATCTTAGGGCACCTGGGTTGAATGTGTTGGAGAGTAAAAACTAAACAGAGTGGGTGAGCCGCTATTCAGTGTATGACCTTGAGCCACTCACTCAAATGCAGGGGCTTGGTTTCTTCATGTGCAAATGAGGTCTCATCTTAGAGGTCCTTCCAGCTGTAACTTTCCACATTCAAAACTTGAATCTGTATATTCAATATACATTCTGAGGGGAATTCATTTTTCAGATACTATGTCAAGGACAAAGAATAATGGCTAAGTTTTTTTTTAAGCATAAATACCTAAAATTATCTCATTTTATACTTGGTCAAATCAGTCCATCTCCACAGTCAACACATGTGTGCATGCGTTGCATGCACACACACTCATACGAATATGCACATACACATGATAAATCGTCTATATCAGTAATAAACGTGACTAGGTTGAAGTGTATTAATACTGAGGGGTCCCAAGTGGTTTAATTAAAAACCTGACTAAGAAAATCAACCCACAGTAATACAATTAGCATTCTTCAACTTACATGCCTACCGTTTTAAGGGAAAGCTAACATTGTCAGTTTTTTAAAATAAATTAGAAAGAAATAACCAGTAAAAAATAGAAGGTGGATGTATGTTAGTGTGTTCATTTTATTAAAATTTGATGAGACATAGACTTAGGACTTATGTACTTTTCTGTTTATCTATTTTAATAAAAAGTTTAAACATTTTGTTAAGTGCTGGAACTCAGACTGCATCTTAATTACATCGATTAATAATAAGATTTCTGTCCAGAGGCCATAGAAAAATCAGCTGTATCACAAAATCAGATTCTATAAAGAACTTGCGACACTCCTATTTGGATAGATGTGGGTAGGCTACAGATAATGCAGTCGAGCAGTGAAATTACTTGCTTGCAACTGGTAATTATGTTTCATAGGCAAAATTATGCTGAGAAACTTTGGACCTCTCTATTGGAAACATGAACATTAAAAAACTTGCAAAGATTTCCACCAAAAATTCTCATCATATACCATATTGCAAAGCCACTATGATACTTTAGCTTCACTAAAATGATGATGTTTTGGTACTAACTCAAACGAAGAAAAAAATTAGGATTGAACACACCTTGGGCTGGGTCCATGGCAAATTAAAGAGCCTCTCTGTTGGATAGCTTCTCTTTTTTTAAAGGAAGCATGGAGAGGGGGAAGAGATCCATAAGTCATGCTTTAGGCACTGCTTCTTGCTTCAGAGGGACCTTCTACCAGGAGTGAAATCTCTTGTTATTTTCAGTAGGGAGCATCGACAGTGGAACATTATGCCCATGTACTTCTGAGCCAGTCTGGGAGGGCTGTCTAACTTGGAAGTTACCATCAGTATGCACTATTTAAAATTATAGCTCTAGGATGCATTTAACACGGGTCAAACATACCCGTTTCTCAGGGTCCTTTGGCCAGTGGCATCCAGACCAGTTTGAGGACTTGGGGTCATCTCTGCAGACATCAGGAGAGGCACTATTGCCCCAGCCTGTGAGGGAGCTTCAGCTCTTCATCCTCTCTGTTTCTAAGCGTAGAGCAGTAGCTGCTTTGGATTGTCGTGTGAATGGCAAGAGACTGCCTGAGGTTAACTGGGCAATAAACCATGCCTGAGCCTGCAGCAGCAGTGATTAATCACATCTCAAACTTGTGCTGGGAAATGAGAGGTGAGACTGATGGACTTGATGTCCTGAAAGTGAGTTGACATTTTCTGAGACCTGAGGTCTCATTTCCCCCTCTTGGCTGGTGAGATGTCCAGAGAGGCATCTCTCTGGTGGCTGTTTCATTTGATAAGTGCCTTCACAGGAAGTATAACATGTACGCAAGGGCTTCTTGTAAATAGAATGAGTTAGCAAATGGTATCACAATGCAACAGCTTTTATTATGTTTTCCCTGAACAGAAAGGAGGAACTGGCTTCTATTATTACACGCATTGTATGGACGAGAAAACTGAGGGTAAGAGAAATTGACTCAGTGAAACATCACAAGCCACAAAAAAAGACACTAACTGAAGAGACGATGAATTCGCATAGAGCAGAGGTTCACATAGGTAGCAAGATGGTCCTTCAAGTTAGAAGTCAGAGGACTTTCAAAGCCGAGCCAAAGAATTGAAAGCTTTTTTTTAAAGTAACGGAAATCTCTGAATGCAATTTGATGAAGAATGACATAGCAGTATTTAATGGGGATTGGTCTTATAGCAAAAAACAAGATTGGGAGAGAGAAATTACAGCCTGTATAATAATAAAAACTGGCAGGTAAATACTCTCTGAGCAGTTACTATGTTCTGAACCCTCCACTATGGACTTCACACGTATCACTTCCTTGTAACTAAAAGGGAAGTGACATTAACTCCATATGAATAAAAAAAATGAATAAAAAAATCATTGGAAAAAGGCTTTGCAATGTCACCTGTAACTAGGTAGCAAAGCCTGGATTTAATCCACATCTACAGCTTTCCAGTGGTCATACTCTAATCTCCATGGTGTATTCCTACAAGGAGGTAGTGAAGTTGGCCTTGAGTAGCAACCACTTTAAGCCAAGACATTGTCATCATCATCATCTGCCTAGACTATTGGAGGAACTTTCTACCACTGTTTCTGTTTTTACCTCTGATATTAAGTATCTATTACTGTGTAACAAATTGTCCCAGCTTTTACCTTCTGAGAGTCAAGAGTCTGGGAGTCACTAAGCTGGCTTGTTCTGGCTTTGAGTTATCAGGATGTTGTCAGGGGCTGTAATCAACTGGAGGCTTGAGTGAGGCTGAAGGATTTGTTCCCAGCTTTGGCTCCTTCACACAGCTATTGGCAGGAGTTCCCAGTTTCTTGCCAGAAGGTCTTAGTTCCTTACAACATGACAGCTGGCTTCCATGATTAGAGTGTGGTGGGAGCCACTCTGCCTTTCTTGACCTAGCCTTAGACGTTATGCACTTTCCCTTCCATTACGTCCTGTTCATTCGGAGTGAGTCACTAAGCCCACCCACACTCAAGGGAAGGAGAATTAAGCTCCATTTCCTCAAGCAAGGGATATCAAAGAATTTGTAGACATAATTTAAAACCACCACACTCCCCTCTTTGATTCTATACACCACCGTCATAATTGTTTACAAACAAATATGTTTGCATCTGTAGTCTTAATAATCTTTCAGTGGTATCTCATTGACTTGAAGATTAAAACCCAATGTCCCTGGTCCTACTTGATGTGTCCAGTTCCTCCCCCATTCCCTCCATTGTCACCTCCCATTTCTTCCTAGCTCTCTTGTCTTCTGGCCAAACGCTCTTGCTTTCAAATTCCTTTTGGTGTGGGGCCCTTGCATATGCTGTTCCTGGAACCCAGAATGATCATCATCTTGCTGTCACTTATTCATCATTCAGTTCTTGGTCCAAAGGCTACTTCTTTGGGAGAGCCTCTCTGACTCATTAGCCTTTATCAGCTACCCAGCTACAGTTCTTGTTACAGCCTGTACTTTTCATTTGTGGGGCTGGTCACAATTTATGACTACTTATTCATCGAACTATTTTGTTATGGCTGTAAGAGTCTCTGTTTTGTTCACCGTTGAATCCTAGTGCATGATACAGGGTCTGCACAGTAAATATCTGAACTGAATAGGCTACTAGGAAAGAAAGATGAATTGATAGAACAGAGACAACCTCTGTTTTTTGAGATCCACGTTAGAAGAGGTAAGCCAATACATCTGTACAGCTAATTTTAAATAAAGACCAAAAGAAAAACATGCCACAAATGTGCATAAAATGGGATAAGCCAATGATGGGGATGCCAGCAGGGGAAAGCATAATTACAGGAAGACAAAGAGGAGATAGATGGAAGTAGGACTCTGCTGCTGGGTCCTGGGTCTGCCGGGTCATTAAAGAGATACAGTCCTGATCTTCATTGCAATGAACAGCCTTGGTTCTGAAATTTTAGAATCTATCTGTGCTTCAAGGTTGCTCTGCAGGAGGAGCCTCAGTATTTTAGAAGCTTTATTCTGATGTTTTGCCCCGTCATCTGCTTGCAGCTCCATAATCTACAGACTGATTTAAAAGATGCACATATGGTGGTCTCTGAGCTGTCACCCGTGGACAGCACCTAAAAAGCATCACTTCCCCAGTCTCATCCTCTTTGGTAACATGCCAAGGGTGAGATCCCTGGATTAGAACCATTTTAGGTTTGAGGGTGTTTTTTTGCAGTAGGAAGAGACATCTAGGTGAGGGCTGGAAATGGTTCACTGCTAACCCTTGTGTTGGCAAACCCTTTGCATTCACAGGGACTAAGGTGCCTGCCTTTCAGAGAGTCCATTCACAGAGCATCACAAGTGAGAAACAAAAATAGCTTGTTGGGAAATGAGTTCAGTCCCAGCCGCGCAGCTCTGAGCCTGGAGGGAGGACAAACAAAGCCGCCACTGAGAATAAAAGCAAGTTCAGTGTTTCTCTCATTATGGTTTCTCTTGCTCCAGCCTCTTAAAACCTCTCCTATTGTATCCAGGCCTGAAAGCGTCTAGTGATCTGACTGAGCCTTTCTAATTGGGTGCTTGCAGTTCATCTTATTTTTCATTAAAAAAAATAAGCTCATCAGCCCTAGAGCCTCAGGGGTCCACAGGGAACATGTTTATAGAGAAGTTTTTGTGTTTATTAGCATCACACAAAGCCCATTACACAAAAGCCTCAGCAACTCGCCCAGCCTCAGCAAGCTTCCAAATGTGGAGCTGTCAACAACCCGAAGTCATTGCTAGTGTCAGGCCCACAGGGCCCTGCAGAGGCTGTCCTTTCACTCAGCCTAGATTATTTGAGTCAGACGATCTTGAAGGGGACCTCCCTCCAGAAAGTCACAGCCATTCATTTTGGGTTGAGGCTACAGGAGACATTTCCTTCAAAGTGAAAAATTACGAAGCACCTACTAACCTACTGATGTGTCGGGTGTGCTAGTGATGTAAAAATGCTGGTGTGTGGATGTTCTCTTAATACCCACAATAACTTACGAGGTATGGGAGAGTCTCTTGTCATACAGATGAAGTCGCTGAGATACAGAAAGATGAATGACTTGCACCAGGTCATACAAATAAGAGGAGTCAAAATGTTGGGGGGGTGGGGAGCAAAACCAGATCTGTCTAATCCTGAAGACACTATTCCACCTACCAGAATGTATAAACACTTAATAACAATGATGGTTTGCACAACAGACCCTTTGAGAGTCTCATACCAAACTAGGGCAGAATTAATACAAGGAGGACAAAGGGCCAGGGGACCTGGGTTCAGGTTCAGTATTTGCTGGGCCACCTGCAGGGCCATTTCTTCACTGGAATTAGTCTGACAGCCCTGCTGGAGGAAGACTTTGAGCACAAGTTACGCATCAAGCAACCAATATGTCACGAACTAAGAAGGAATAATGTTCCACAAGGGTAAGCACAGCAGGAAGAAAACCAAATTAATTTCAATTGCTGCTGGGTTGAAGGGGGAAGACATTTTAGCAGTTGATACCAAATGCCGACTGTTATGAGACGGAGCACAAGAGCAAGTGACTTCAGGTTAAACCTGACCAGATTGATTAATAGAAACCATCAAGTAATTGCCTACTAATAGCAGCTGCCTGAAAGGCACCGCACGTTTGTAAGGAAGTCTCATTTCCACCCAAGCCCACACCTCTTGCGACGCTGGCAAAGAAAGGACAGATTTTTTTATGACTGTAGTAAATGTGTGTAGTTAGCATTTTTAATTATTGCACTTAAAGGTGGTGGATTTACATGTCTTTTAGTCTCTTCCTTCTCTTCCTCACACCAGGGTCTGTGGTAAATGTTGAAGCAATGAAAGAATGAAATGCAAGTGAGCAAAGACAGTGCATCAGGGTCACTGAACGCTGCTTCCTGAGGCCAGCTGAAGCCCATATCTCTGAGCAGAGAGAGAAACACTTTTACCAGTTAGGTGTAAAATGAGACATAAATGGGTTGTCTGGTTAACTCAACAGTCACCAAAAATTTGGTAAGGCAGAGACCCATTTCTCAAATATTTCTTGCTAAACTGAGGTTTGACCTTTTGCACTATTTCTACATAAATAAAAAAGTTTTGAGTCAGCCATCACCATCAATCGTCTGCCTGTATCTAAAATGATGAGTACGGAGTTCCATATGTTATGAGTCAAACTCTTCCTTCATATGCAATATACCAGCTTTATATTAAACTATCTGCAAATATCTGACGCGAATCTCATTCTGAGACATGAGATCTGGAGACAGTTACTGCAGAGCAGAGCGGCAAGGTCTGATTAGATCGGGTGCTATTTTAAGGAGGCTAAATCCATTTAGATTTGTTCGAAATGTGGGTTTGCCTTAGGAAAGACTCAGAAAATTTTGTGACTTTAAACCAAGTTGGCAAAGTATGACCCAAGGGCCAAATGCAGCTCCCTTCAGCTGTTTTTATAAATAAACTTCTTTGTATTTTCATTTGTTTACATTGCATCTGTTCTCAAGCTACAAGGGCAGAGTTGACTATTATTGAGAGAAATCTTCAGTGCTGGATGAATGTATTTACAACTAGCGCTTCATGGAAAAAGTTTGTGCACTCCTGCTCTAAACTAGGTCCGATTCTCCTCCAAATCCTGCAACATAAACCTGATCAAATTGGTGATGCTTATTAAGATCCCATTATTGGTAAACCAGTCTACTCACCTCTTACTGAATAATCCCAACTAGAGTCTTCCTGGGTACATCCTCTAAAAGGGTAAAAATGATGGGGCTGGCTGTTTGCACAGCCCAGAGTTCCGAAGTCATGGCTAACACCACAGTCTTTGAAGCAGCAAATATGGATTCATGGCCCCTTTCCTGGGGCTGTCTTCTCAGTGTTTTGGACAGAATAGGACATATGAGGCCCAGGTCACACTATGGCATAGCTGACATTCTGCCTGGATTAGATAGACTTAATAAGAAACTAACACCCACAAAATTTAAATTTTGGAATTAGCCTTGACAGCATCTTCAGAACTGTCAAGTCCCTTAGAATTAAAAAGAAGAAAAAGCCACTTTTTTATTTTTCTTTTTTGGCTTGCCAGGAATTCTTTGTTTACATTAAATGAAGGCATTCCTACTTAAATTCTTGTGCTACTGCAGGTTATTGGTAAACATAGACAAGATGTATAAACAACTAATTGTATGTAAGATCAGGAGCATATACAAAGATATTTGGACTAGTCTATCAGTTAAGTTTTCAGAGCTGAGAGAGAAAGACGACAAAAAACCCAGACACTCTGAGATCATAGAGTGATCACTGGGCATATCTCTGTCCTAGTGCATCATACACATTAGTACTTAGAGCCCCAGATTTTTTTTCAATATTACCTTCATTACTAGGAAATTGCTTACTACTAAGCAGGATATGGCCAACACTTCATATAATATTTTGACTTCTCTGATATTTTGATTACACATTCATACGAAGATAAAGGCTCTTGTTCTTTCAGAAAAAAGATAACAGACATTTAAAACTTGGCAAGTTTTCTGGCGGTAAGTATTCTACAAGGGTTCGTGACATTTCCATGAAGCTGTCTATAATGCGTCACCTATCAGCCTCTTTGACACCGTCTACACCAAAACATCCCAAAGGCAGTCAGAGGTGAAGGCTCTGGAGTCTAATTAACCTGAAAGTGTCAAGTTTTCAAATTCTCTCCAGCCTTGAAGATCCTAGGAAATTTCATATGTTCATTAATTCAACAAATATTTATCAAGTTTAAGGCAATGTTAAGGATACAAAAATGACTAAGAAAAGGTCTTTGCTTCCAAGCACCTCGAAATATACTTGTGTCATAAGGAAAGGTTAGTTCAAGCTGTAAGTGGGCTAGAAAATTCCTAACAAAAATTCAGAGTTTTTCTGTAGAAAATCAAATCTAGCCGATCAGAAAATTATTTCCTAGGTGAAAAGGATTTTGCTAGATGGAAAGAGATTGTACTCTATCATAAAAGGTTGTAGTTTTTTTTTTAACCCATACTCCTGTTAGACTCAAGTTTTAAATTTTCTCTCAATAAATTTCTTATTGATTTCAAGTAGTTCAGCCTATTTAATGTGAGAATTTAAAACTATTTTTAATAGGAAGCTATTAATAGCCTTTAATAATTGTGGAAGGCCAAAGCTTTTAATAGTAATGTTGTGTCCATTATGTTATTTAAAGATAAAAAGAGAAAAGCAAAAATTCATAACCCCTAAATGCAGTTGGATTCTGGAACAGAAAAAGACCATTGCTGAAATAACTAGGGAAACCTGAATGAAGTCTGTAGTTTAATAGTATTGTACCAATGTTAATTTCTTAGTTTTGATAAATATACCATGAGGATGTAAAATGTTGACATTAGGGGAAACTGGATGACAGAAGTACAGGGGAACTCTGTTCTACTTTTGCAAATCCTCAGTAAATCTAAAATTTAAAACAAAACTACTAAATAGTAATGCCAAGTTATTTTTTGTATATATATGTATTTATTGAAGTATAGTCAGTTTACAATGTTGTGTCAATTTCTGGTGTACAGCACAATGCTTCAGTCATATATGAACATACGTATATTCATTTTCATATTCTTTTTCACCATGAGTTACTACAAGATATTGAATATATTTTCCTGTGCTATAGTTACTGTTCAAAGCTGTTTAGCTTTTCTCATAGCTTAGTATAGATGTGAGAGAACTCAAACAGGAGCACCTGAAATTGGCCAGATAGATAAGGCATTATCAGGACTTTCTGTTGTTGTTGTTAAGCAAAAGCACAAAAGTACAGGCTTCCAGTGGCTCTTGCAAATGTAAAATGTACCACTCAGCTATGAGATTGAGAGGCAAAGGCGTATAATTCTCTATGAAAGTAGAGCTAGAGGGATTTATTAGGTTTATTTCAATGTTCAACAGTCGATCCATCAATACATTCCTTATGGCCAGAGAGTTAATGTGTACTTCAGATGGTGCAGAAGTTTGCCAGAAATGACACACCTACAGATAGAAACTGTCTTCGCCATCTCAGATTTAACTTCAAAAATTCATGCAATACGTTATGTTTTATATTGTGTACTTATTTAACTGTTCTCCTGAGGTTCTTGTGAAACTGATGCCCAAACAAAACAAAACAAACTAGAAACTGATGTTCTTATATATGAAAAAAATTAGCTGATTGTAACATGTTGATCCAAGGCTACCGTTTCATCTTCGACATAACACTAAGAAACTTGGTTAGGGGTGAGAGCTGGGGAGGGACGTACTATAGTTTGAGAAGCCTAGAGTTCTTGGCCTAATAGAGTTCATGTAGTTTGCTCAAGATCTCTCTCACCTGAGTGAAGACTAACCATGGCTGTTTGTGGATGGGCGTGGGTCTTGGGCACATGGAAACCACTCACTTTTCTAGCCAAAGAATCCTTCAGTCAGGGAAGCTTTCATCCCAGATGGTTCCTGAGAACTTTCTCTTTATGTTCCCTGCTTTTTTTGTTGTTTACTTTGTCATCTCCTATCTTTTCCCCATATGGAAATGGAAAGGACATTTTGCAGTCTATCAAATTCAGTCAATTTAGCAGTCCAGGGGGCTGGTATACATTTTAAGATGCCTTTTCTTTCAGCGTGTTACGCTGATAAGACCAGTGTTACGGAGTCTGAACCACTGAGTGAAAACACGTGCCCTCCAGAACCCCACTTCCGTCAGGTTTATAGAGCTCAAGGGGAAGTAAAGTAATTGGATGACTTCAGGCAGTACAGGTGAGAGTGCAACTCTGAGTTGAGAAATTCCATCCATAAATTCCATTTATATAATTAAAGGCAAGCAAGTTTGAATTACTTAGATAATCCCCCTGTTTATAGATTGGATTGGCTTAATTGCTTGACGTGAGATTTATTAGTAGACACCATTTCCATAATCGTTCAGGAAGTTCAAGGTTTGCTTATTTTTCTCTTTAATTCCAGTTGATGACCAAAATTAGTATGTTCTACCTAGTATTCTATCAATTAGAACTGCAATACAATGTACATTGATATAAATTGTAATTAGCCTGGTGAACTAAAAATCGTAAGTATTAAATTGCATATCTATGTTCTAAAAATTGTAACAGGAAATCTAACACCCTGTGTTTCTGCTATATGGTTAATTTTGCAACCACAGCTCCAAAAAATGTTTGTTTTTCTTTTTCCCCTTTAGACCAAAAAAAAAAAAAAAAAAAGTCAAGTCATCCTATCCGGAAAAATCAAGTGGCCAAGTCTACCAGTTCCTACATAATTCTAGAAATGACAGCAAATCTGATCCTCAGATCAATCTTACAAGAAACTTTATACAGACACAATCAGGTAAGTCATGAAAGAAGTATTGGTAATTTGGCGCTGCAACATTTTAGAATTGTCATTTATCTCCTATTCTGTCACAAGGTAAGAGTGTTTCCTCTATTTTTCCACTGATGCCCTTTTGAATTCATTTCTAAACATCTTTTAGAAGTTGGGAAAATGTGTTTGCCAAGTTTATAATTTACTCATTTTCATGGTTATAAGTTTAAATCAGACTTGTCTTTTCTACATGATAATATTCTAATCCTAGCACATAGTTGAAAGGAAATTGCTAGATTTACCTATCCTCGGTATTCATGGAATATTAATGCACTGGATTTCTTCTCTGCGTTTCTCTTGAGTTCTCAGGAAAAGCAATGTGAACTTTAATCAGACCACATTGTATAGGAGGTATGAAAAATTTTCAACATTGAATGCTATTTGGTAGAGTTTATTCTTTTGCTTGGTGTAATATCTAAAATTGCATTTGGAAGCATAAACTCAAAACAAAGATATCTCAATAGTCACCCCACAAAAGGCAACAGTGTATTTTCTACAATCTAAAGATGGGAAAAAATATCCCCCAAAATGGAAGCTAAACCAAAAGACAAACCTTGACCTTGCAGTCCAGATATCTCTTCTTCCCTGTGCCACCTGAATATCCCTAATTGTATTAATTGGGGTTTTGCAGAAAACACAGAATAATATTTTATATGTATATAAATATAAATATGTGTGTGTATATATAGAAAGAGAGATTTTGAGAGTGAAAGCCATGTAATTATGGACTCTAAGAAGTCCCAGGACCTACAGCTGGCAATCTGGAGACCTAGGAGATCCAGTGAACCCAGGAATGCTGAAGGCAGGAGAAGTAGATGTCCCAGTTCAAAGACAGTCAAGCAAAGAGAATGAATTCTCCCTTACTCTGCTTTTTGTTCTATTCTGGCCTTCAACAGATTGGATGAGACCACCTCCCCACCCCATTGGGGAGGGCAATTTGCTTTACTCAGGGAATTTGGCAAATATCTGGGCACCCCGTGGCCCAATCAAGTTGACGTAAAATTAAGCATCATACTAATCAAATCATGGTAGGATGTAGGTTGTCACATACCTTACAAGCTACCTTGATATTTGGCCTCAGAAGAGTTCTAATGGGAGACAACTTACAAATCAAACTGGAGCATCTGTAATTTCTACCATGTAGCATACTTACCTTCTCTCTGATTCCTTGGAAAATACTTCCTCCATTCTGTATGTTTCTGACAGGATATCAGTTATGCTTTAGTAGTGGTCCATCCCAGTACTGCGTCCCCCTGGACACACTGAGGAGAAAGATAAGCACATAATGCAGGCAGGACCAAGGAGAGTCTTGCCTGGGGTTGATACACAGCTGTAGAGAACAACACTGCTTTCTTTTTACTGGTGGTCAAACCAGGATGGTACGTGGCTGTGGCTGCAAATGGCCATCTTCTCTGGGCACATGGAGGAAGCTGTAGCAAAAATAAAGAGCCTATCATGCAGAGAGAAGAGACCAACAGAAACATGACATGGAAGGGGAGAGAGACTGTGAAAGAGAATATTTGAGACTATGGATTTATACCTCCGCCAGCCTCTGAGAAATCAGCCAGTGTCTGATTTCATAGCTCTGTGCTGCAGGAGGGAGGGCCGAGGCTACATGATTAGTAAGCAAAGCTGTTACAATAGTTCTTTTGCTATCTAAAAAGGAAAAGAGGGGTTCTGAAAGGCATAGAATGGCATCTGGGTCCCAGGGGCGGGTCATTGCCTCTTGCCTCCGGCCCCTCTGCCCCACATCCCCTGCATCGTGGCGTGGCCTTCCATCACAGCACACACTTCTCCTTGTCCTGGTGTGACACCACACTACACCACATCCCGTGAAGGGGTCTTGGTCGGACTGTACTCGTCAGAAACTTAATACAACCAGAAAAGACATAGAAATAGCTGTATAATCTGAGGGGGTGGGAATAGTCATTCTATTCTGTCCTAGTATTAAAAACTGAAAAATGTTATCAAGATGGAAGTTAAAAATAAAGGAAAATGAGGAGCCTCATTCATGGAGTGACCAGCCTCCCATTACAGATTTTGCCTTCTCCCATCCTTTTTAAGTTTATTCCATGTCTCTGCCCAGAAGGTCCCTGTGTAGCCAGACTAAGGAATTCAAAGCTTTCCCATCTTCTAGATAATCCTAGGAAATATAATATAGTTACGTTAAAAAAAAGACACATCATTTAAAGTCAGATTTGGGCCAAGCATTTTTTTTTTCTGTGACTCGCATATTTTCTTGAATCCTTTAGATTCACTGAATAGCTAACCAGAACATAAGGCTCTCAGCCATGCCTCTCGAATGTACTAGCAAAATAAGCAATAATCACCCCACGCTCTGTAAGTTCATTGCAGCCCAACCCCCTGGATGTAGAGGGATGTCACGGGGAACACCACCTTTAACCCAGCAGCTCTTCCGACGCAGCACAGAGCTCTGGCTTCCACTCACCCCAGAGAGGTCCCTCAGCAAACCCCACAGAATCTACCAGACAGGGACTTTGAAGGAACGCTTCTTTAAGGATTACAATCAGTGATTTTAGGAGAGGTTTCTTCTGAAAACAGGAAGGTTTAGCTCCTAAAGATTTCATCTTCCTTTCTGTAAACCTCAGGATTTTCGTGTGGAAATAACCCATACAGATTTAATGTCCTCAGCATTTATTCATGTCTGTGGATTTCCTTCCAACTCCCACACACATTTCCCACATCCTGCTTCTCTTGAAAAGTAGAATATTCTAGGTCTGCTCAGAGTGGAGCATAATGGAATAATGGTTCCACAGTTCCCATAAACTCTGCTTTCAAGTGGGTCCTCAGACTCGCCCCTCAGTGGTGCAGCGCGTCGCGGTCTCCTGAGGTCCAGCTACACTCACATTCTTCCTCCCTCCTCTCACGTGGCCTGGTGCCTGGACCCTGTCCCCTGCCGTTGAAGGCTCCTCCTTCTCTTTTCTTGTATTTTCCAGTCATTCCTTATCCTGTTGGTCTTGATCGTTTGCCAGCTCGTCATGCTGGTGGAATTCTAATCCTCTCCAGATTTAAACTAATGAACGTGCTCTCTCTCTTACCACAGAGGAGAAATTATTTTTGCCTTGACATCAAATGCCTTAAATAGCTACTTCAGAAATCCAAAGGGATAAAGGTAAAAACCTAAGCCAAAAAAACTTCCCTGAAACCATCCCTCAAAAAACCCCCGAAAAATCCAGAAACGCTTACAAACAGCAAGGCAAGGGTCAAAAGGTTGACCCTCTCCTATTCAAACTTACCTGTCTCCCTATTTTCCCCATACATTTGAATGTAATTTGTTTTCCCTCCCAATGTAGTAGAGCTTTTCACGCTCGATGGAATTTACTTCTAAAATAATAGCATCAATGTTATCAAACGTTGCTAAGTCCTGCTTTATAGATTTTATATATATAATTGCATTTAATACATGTATATGATTCATAAATACTTCAGTAGACCCCAGACAAATACTCATTTATTCAACAAAATATGCACTGAAAACTCCAGATTCCAGAGGAAGAGGCAGTGACAAAAGGCCGACAATTTGGGATATTCTTTGAAAAGTGGCATATATGGTGCAAGAGGGGATATGTGTAAAATAATTAGAAAGCTGTTACAGTGTAGGTGAGATGGCGTGGACTACAGTGGGACTGGTCTTGGTGGTGAAGGAAGAGAGGAGAGGGATTGAGATTTAGGATGTAAAAACCTTAGTCTGTGTTGATAAATTGGATTTGGGGTTTGGGCAGGGTATAATTTCCAAAGTGTGAGGTGTAGGAACTCCTGAGTTTCTGGGTTTGTTAATTGGATGGATGAAAGTATACTGTTCATGAAATTAGGAAACAGTGGAAGAGAACATTCAGACAAGGTAGATTAGAAGTTTGGTTTTAGATGGGTTGAGTTTGAGATATGTCTGAATTATCCCAAAGGAGATATCAGATAGGCAGTTGGATAGACATGTCTGAAAGTCCAATGAGTGGACTGTTTTGGAAATACAAACATGGAAGTTGTCAGTGTGTGGCTGTTATCACCATGAAAATAGATGAGGTCCTCTGGCATGAAGTCACAGAATGATCAGAGTCCCTAGAAAAGTGCTTCCAAAAGGAGAAACTGTCAAGAGACTAAGAAGCTAGGACCATAAAGCTAGAAGGCATCCAGAGAGATTGCAATAAGACAGATAGTAAAACAGATGCTATCAACTTAAAAACAATGAAAATATGGCTAATGATACCAAGAAGTCACATAAGAGCTTTTTGTACTTACAGACATGGACTTAAAAGCTGCTTTGTGTATGTGTGCCATAAGTTTCAGAAAACTAGAAGGGACAGGTTGAGTGGAGGGGCTGAAGTATTCATGTGCCAGACAACTTCCAAGTGCTTTGCAGGCATAATCATATTTCATCCTCACAGGAACTCTTACAGATGAGGAAACTAAAGTTCAGAGAAGTAAGCCCCAAGCTCATGCAGTTCTGTGAGGCAGCAGAGCTAGAACTCAACACCTAGGCTTAAAGATATTTGATTGAATTTTGTTGTTGATAATTTCTCCTTTTGAAAAAGAATCAAGGATAAACTGTCTCTTTGTAAAAGTGAAAGAAGAATATATTTAAAAGTCACTTTTGAAATATTCAAAACAAAGAAAGAAAGCATCATAGTCTTTATTTGAAGGTGTTCCTTCTCATTTTATCAATGAACATGTTTTAAACGAGTCGTTATAAAGGCACTTGCACCCTGCCCCGTTCACCCACCCTGTTTCTACTCTGCAGAGCCATCGCTGTGAACACTTTCAGCTGTGTGGTTGCTCTTAGTGATGTTGTATTTATTTTCATATTTCTAACCGAAATGAGAGGTGGATATAGTCCTTTTACATACATATGCCCACTCCCCCTTCTCTTCCCGGCCAATATAATTACATCATGATTTCAGTTATAGAAAATCATGTTACACATTAGCAGTGCCTTGTAAGTATTGTTCATT